GCTACGGGAGACTGGCCCAGGTCTCAAAAAGGTTGCCTACCCCTGTTCCAGAGCATGGTGAATGCCAGCAGAAACCAAGATATAGAGTGAATCGGCCTGTAAATGAAGACTGAAGGAAAGATGGAAAATCTTTGCCCTTTAGACTACAGATTGCACAGATCCTTGCCATTAGTTCTGCCAGCAGGTGCTCCTAGGAGGAGAAGTCTGGAAAATCTGGAAGGTTAAAATCTCCTTTGCGTTACAGATTGACAAAGCCATATTGAGGTTCAGTTGTCTGCAGCACCGGAAAATGGAGGGAGGCATGTTTTACTATGTTTTTGCCACAATCAGAAATGTGAGTTTATAGATTCACTTTCACACAAGAGTTCTACTGCACCTAGGTACTACAGAGACAGCTGTTCTCTGCCTCCTTACAGTCACCATCCCTTGCAATTTACCAACACCAACTGTTATCTGAATTTACTCATTGTGACAATAGCTGAATGAGTGCAGAGAAAGAAATGTGGCTATATAGTTGGGTTTTCTTGTTTTTAAACCAGATGTGTTTCAAGCTTAATGGATTATTGTTGAGCCACAGATCATTTGTGAGCCAAGGTAAAGCAACTTAGTGTTCTTTGCTTAGCCCCATTTCAGTGATTTTCACAATACATAACTAGTCCAAGCATGGAACAGGTACAGTATGCCCAGGGCAATAGAGAGCTCCAGGTACTTTGTTAAACAGAGAAGGACAGGCACATGTTTTGGCATGGGGCAGAAAATCCTATTTTCTATGAAATGGAAAGAAGATTTAGATACAGCCCAGATATCCCTATGATCAACATGCATAATACTTTATTTATTTATTTATTTATTTATATTTCATTTTAATCTCACCTTCTCCCATTGTGAGATTAAAGGTAGTGCACATTGAATTAGATCCAGCTTTACTTAAATTTAGCCTAAAGCAAAGAAGGATTCATAGGGCCAATGCAGACTGGCCTAAAGGGCCGGCCTGGGGGTGGAGTTGGGGGCAAGGTGACCACATGTTGGCCACTCTGACTCTGCCCTGATGCCACCATCACACTGCACGCCCAACCGTACAGCGCATGGCATCAGGGCACCCTGTTGGCATAGCATGCACACATGCTGCACCAAAGGGGTGCAAAAGAGCACGGGGCAGCGGCTTTTTGCCATCCCAAAAAGGAGCAGCATTTGCCAACTCTTTTTGGAGCAACAAAAAAGAGGATTGGGGCCATGGCATGCGGTTGCTGTGGCCCCGATCCGGCACTCACAAGGGCAGCACAGAGCCCCCCCCCCTTAGGGGCCATCTGCATCAGCCCATAGTTACTTCATAGTAAGTGGTACATTCAAATTCTGTCTAAACTATTCTGCACATCTGCCTGGCTTGTAATGGGTCTCTGGGGCTAGGATGCATGGCCCCTGAGGCCAACAGGAGATGGATTCCCAAGGTTTATATGGGTCAGAATCAAACACTCCCATCCTAACAGTTATGAAAATAGTATATCTAGGTTGGTCAATGGAAAGTTTACTCTTCCAGTCTCAGCGTTTGGTCTTTCCCCATTTTTGAGATGCCAGAATAACCCTTTATGTCATTGGACAGTGGTTAATATTTGACCATGATGCTGACAAGAACTCTAAAACCCATATGCATGAGGGCACAGGCTATACTCACTACAGTAGTCTCTATTAGTGCTGCCAAGAAGATTGTAAATTTTGGGCACATGTTTCTTCTGCAATGACTGCAGAGAGCATGAGACACAAAGATGGTAATGAGGCTATTCCTGGTGAAACAAACCGCTAGAGCAGGGATAGGCAACCTTTCTCCTTTAAGGGCTGAGGGACTTCAGCTCCCAGAAGCCTCCGCCACGTTGGCCAACAGTCCCATCTTGGCCAATAGCTCCTGGGATTCTGGGAGCTGAAGTCCTCGGCCCTTAAAGGGGAAAGGTTGCCTACCCCTGCTCTAGAGCCTGTTGTTGTGTGCCTTCAAGTCATTTCAGACTTATGGTGACCCTAAGGCAGGGGTAGGCAACCTTTCCCCTTTAAGGGCCGAGGGACTTCAGCTCCCAGAAGCCTCAGCCATGTTGGCCAATAGTCCCATGTTAGCCAATAGCTCCTGGGATTTTGGGAGCTGAAGTCCCTCGGCCCTTAAAGGGGAAAGGTTGCCTACTCCTGCCCTAAGGTGACCCTATCATGGGGTTTTCTTGGCAAGATTTGTTCAGATGAGGTTTGGCATTGTCTTCTCCTGAGGGTGAGAGCATGTAACTTTCCCAAATTTATCCAGTGGGGTTCATGACTGAGCTGGGAATCGGACCCTGGTCTCCAGAGTCATAGTCAAAAACAAAAGCCACTATGCCATGCTGTCTCTGAAGCAAACATCTAGAGCCTGGAAAAGTCCAGCCATGTTTACCCAGACACTCTGAGAGACTAGAAATGGATGGACAATCATAGCTCAACTTTCTTGAGAGCTGAGCTCAAACCCAGCATAGCTGATCCCCATTTCTCAACAGAAGGACCCTAACTTGATCTGTCTCCCTGCTTTGCACAGAAATGGAATGGAATTGCAATTAGTCCCAAGCTGTTCAATCCATTCCAGTAAGGACAAACATGGTTTTAGCACTGGTCTCTGCCTAGGCTTGCCAACTTTATTTTGACCAGATTGTGTGGCTGTGATGGTTAAAAATATAGCACCACCAATGTGCATGAGTGCATTACAAAGTCTAAGAGGGAAGGCCTCTGCTACAAGGAGCTTGGTGTAACATCTGATGTGGGAGAGACAGCTGAGGAAAGTAAGGAGATGGAGGTTGGAATTGAATGAAGAAGAATGTCTGTGTATTTTGGTTTCATGTTTCTGTGCTTAAGTTGTGTTAAATGCTGCACCTTTAACAGCTGTTTTGACAAACAGAAATTCTGCAAATCAAACACTTTGAGGAAAGCTTTACTTTCTCAAATTTTGTACATTTCCCGAAATGTCAGGCCATAAAGGGAGGAGGATCTGTTTTAGGTGGGTTTCTATACATTTAATAGCCCCTTGACCTTCCTTTTCATAGAAATTTGTTTATTACATTACAAAATGTAATAAGGCCAATAAAACAGAAGATGGTAATAATTAAGATAGTTTTAATTTCAGTAGACCCCTGCTTTATGATACTACATGTTGGATTGGAGTTACTTTTCAGACTACAACTCCCTGGACTTTCCAGCCATCATGGTCACCAGACTTTCAGGATGACTGGAGACTGTGGGAGCTGTAATTCAAATAAGAATTTTTCCAAGCTCTATACTGGATTAGCATTCTTGTGCTGTCATGGAATAACAAGCTCATAGAATTGGAAGGTACTGGACATTGCACAGCCAGTGAAGACACACATACCACTTGCAAAACAACAACCTTCTAACATTCTCAACATGCACCATGGAAGGAACGATACCATGGCACTTATTTTTGATATTTCTTTCTCAGATATTACCTTATAGATTCATGTTCCATTCACAAAACTATAACTTGGAAGTGATTGTTGTTGTTTTAGTTGTTATGCCTTCACGTTGTTTCTGAGTTATGGTGAGAGAGTGTGACTTGCTCAGGGTCACCCAGTGGGTTTACATGGCCGAGCTGGAATTCAAACTCTGGTCTCCCTAGGCTCAGACAACTACACCATGCTAGGGATGTAAATCCTTGATTATTTCATCCTCCCATGCAGGGATTAACATTTCTGGTAGTTGTCTTCCTGCTACAGGGAAAACCCCCTAGAACATTCATCCACAGTATTTCCCCTATAATCAATGTTCAAAGTGTTATGGAGGAATTATTCTGCATAGAAATACATATGGGGCTTTTTTGTGTCAGTGGCATCCTGCACAGGGGTGTCACCTGGTGCAGTGGGTGGGGCTTTGGGGGACAGGGCCAAAAGGATTCGCCCTCACCTCCCTGCCTGGTGTGGCTTTGCATGCATGTAAAGCCATGCTGAGCAGGGAGGAAGGGGTGCCCTGGGCCTCTCCTTCCCTGCCACACACAGTATGCATGGCAGGGATGTGTGGCCCCCCCGCCCACTCAGCCAGGTGTCACCTCTCTTCTGGGGTGTTACCTGATGTGGTCCGCACTCTCCCCCCCCAGTGATGCTATTGTTTTGTGTGCGATTAAACACCTCACCCCACCCTTCATGTCCAAGATGGTCTACACCAGGGGTAGGCAACCTTTCCCCTTTAAGGGCCTGATATACATTGGTGCCTGTTGTGCATTGTGCCATGGTACATCAGTCATGAGACCATTGTGCAACAGTCAGATGCCCATATAAAGTAATATCATAGCAGCTCTTAGGTTAATATAGACCAGGGGTAGGCAACCTTTTTGAGCCTGGGGCCGGGTT